GGTTAGAAAAATAAGCAAATTTTAAAACCCAAAGGAAGTACTATTTTTCAAAAAAGGATTTTTTTAAAGGGACATTTTCACTAAATGTTATATTACAAAAGTTTTTTTCCTGTTTCCTTAGACTTAAAACATTACCCTTTTTTAAAAAAAGACCTTTAAAAATAACTGCATAAAATTTGAAAAATTCAAAAAGTTTTCCCCTTTTGTAAATATAAATTTTTAAACTAGAAATATTTTTTTAAAATTTGAAAAAAAAATTTTTTTAAAAAAAATCTGAAGTTTATTTTTTCCCTAAAACTGGTGAAACCTAAAAACTTTCAATAGAAAAGGGAGATATAAAAATTTTGCTTTTAAAATTAAATTAAAAAGTATACCCAAAATATTTTTCAAAATATTTCAAAATCAGTCCCCTCCCAAAACAGTAAAAGATTTTTAATTTAATATGTACATTTTTTGTAACAGATTTGTTTTTAAAAACCCCTTTTAAATTTCCCTTTGAAATGTGACATCCTAGAAATAAATTAAATTTTTGGTTTAAAATTATGAAAGAATAAAGGGTTTCAATCCCATTTACTGTACAAATTTAATAATTTCTTGAAAATTTTTTTGGGAAAAGTGTATTTTAATTTATTTTAAATTTTTGGTTTGGGTTTTCAATATAAACAAAATAAAACCCCCCCAAAATTTAAAAATTGGTAATATTATAAATAGGTACTAAATTTTTTAACAGTCATGTGATATAGTAAAAGAAAGGTAAATTGACTTAAAAAGTATAAAAATGGTGAGAAAATCCCTTCCCAAAAATTAGGGACTTTCAGTCCCCATTTTTAAAAATAAAAAAATATCATGAATAATCAAAAACCCCGGGTATCCCGGGAGTTAATTTAAAAATTTTTAAAAAATTTTCCTTAATTTAAACTTTTTTAAAATTTTCTTTCAATCAGTTAAAAACAAATTAAAAATTTAAAATTTGATATTTAAAGACATTTTAACCAAAAATTTGCCCTAAAAAAAAGGATTTAATCGGGACACGGGGAAATGACTACACCGTTTACATATAAGTTAAAATTTATTTTACAACATTACATAAATATTATATAAACGCCGCCACATTACTTGTCAATAAAACTGATTAATATTGAAAAAATTATTACTTTGTAGTTTGTAAATAAATCAACGAATCAAATTAATTAAAATGAGACTTACTTTTTATATCAATTCCTCTTGGATTCCACAATTTTGGGGTTTTTACTTTCTTTTTTCTATTACTCATAAGTACAAGGGGAAAATTGATCTTTTGTAACAGATTTCAGACCATCTGCTTACAAGTTCACATTTGTTTTTGTTATTCATTATGCAAACACGAGGTCTGTGACCTGGAAATGGATTCATTCTGATTGGTTTCCTAGTGACCTCATTTCTATTTTTTAGTAAATTCTTTTTTTTCGGATTACTCGAAAGTTCTAAATTTTAGCGCAATCGGATCGTATTCACTATCTCGGATCCCATTTTGACCTAAGTTCCCTAAAATACAGAGTTTTCTCCCTTCGAAGTAATCGAGCTAGGTATAAATAGCCGTAATCGGTATAGCTCATGTGTATATAATTAATTTTTGTAGACATCCTTCGGAATATACCATATATATCATATATAGTTCAGTTTAGGGAAGGACCATGAGGACAGTTTCTAATGTTGCTAGAACTTATTGTTCAACCCTTTTGCCCTTTGATGTGAAAATAATGTTCTTAAATTGTATTCAAAGAGCAATAAAATATTATTAACCAATATAGTTGATTAAATAAAAAGAGTGGGGTTGGGGTCTTTTTATATTTCAGGCAATTATTATATTTTATCCTTGATATTTTTTTCTATCAATAATTGTTCAGTCAATCTTTTTGAAAACACAGTATTGTCAATTTAACTCAACTCATACAACGAAAAAAAGTACCACATACTTTACTGAAATGTGCATAAATTAGGAACCCTGAGATTTTACATTGGATTGTACAATATCTTTAAGTCGTGAAAATCTCACAGGGTAAGTATTGTGTAAGTCTGTATATCTTTCATGTAAATTGGTGATGAATTATCCAACGTCATGTATACAGGTAAATGTTTTTACTGTTCACTAAGACTGTGGTCTCTCATTGTTATCATTTTTTCAAAAAGTGAATATTATTTTTATAGTTTATGTAGTCCTAGATAAATTTAATTGGACAGTATAAAAGTTATAATAAAAACAGTTTTTAGCAAATTTTATTTGACAGGATATGGTTTTGTAAATGTCATTAATTGACTTTTATATTAAGTTTTAATGGCCATATTTATTACATATTGGACAAATATATGTTGCTTCTGTATTATTATAGTATAAAACATCCATCGACTAAGCCAATGTATTGTATTGATAAAACAGATCTTCATGTACATTATGTTGAAGAAAACAAATCGTTGATATACTGAAGTAAGTAATATTTTGAGAATGTAAAGTATCAAGTATAATAAATGACATACTTTCCAAGGTTAAATGATATAATTATAATGATCAATTTTTCTTCTTACCATTTGCATTTAAACATTTTAATATCGTTTTATTCATTGTACCACAATGTAAACTTCTGTAGGAAAAACATGCAATAGTTTGAATATATTGAGATCATGTTAAAAAAAAAAAATACAACATAACATTTTAATGAAATGATAATGAATTATATAAATTGTGTAACTATGGGGGATAATTCTTTCAGTAAACTGCTGTGATTGGTCTTGGTGTTGTCTCCCTAGATTAAAAATAAATAGTCTCTGAATGGTTTTCATGATATTCAATGTTTGTGTTTTACGCTTTATATGAAACTTTTATGTACACATGTAGAGATGAGACGAATAATAAATAAAAATAGAATACAATGTTTTCAGATAATTTCTTCAGGCGAACATTGAAAACATGAATACGAAATTGTTCATAAAAAATTGTTTTTGAACCATATGTTTACATACAATTAATCTGGTTTTAATAATATCCGGGGAAATCCGACGAGTAAATTCCTGGAAAATAATTCTATATTTCACAATTCGGCAATATTTGTCCCAGTCGGTACCGTACTTTAAGCTTGCATCCGTTGTTGTCTTGTCTTTCTCTATCCAGAGTAAAAGGACTAAGAAAGTAGTTCCGAGGTACGGTACCACATGACTAAATCCTGAAAAAGTAGTGCTATATATAGAATATTCAGGGTCTTTCAAATAGAATATTTATTATAATTATTTGAACTTGAACTACTAGTACCTGAGAGTATGCAAATTAACTACACTTACAAAGTTGTAGCATTTCACTTTCACATACGACTTATCCACCATGGTTCAGACATTTTGTTATTATTCAGTTCTTAAAAATAGTTCGTAGATCCCTGGCTTTGTGTTTAATTTTTTTTTTTAACAAAAACTCTTGCAAAAATGTTTAATGGGATAATGAGTATGAATATTGCTAAAGCCAAAAACAATATTTTCCAAAAGTTAGGGTCACCCAAAAAAAATTGCTTTTAAATTGTTAAAATAGCAAATTCCCTTTGAAGAGGGGGAATTTGGGGATAAAAATATCTGTTACAATTGCATAAAACCTTAATTTTATCCTTGGATTTTTTGTGAATTTTAACACTAAAAATTTTAAGTATTATTTTTCAAATTAAAAGTTTTTTAATTTTTTTTATTGGACAAAACCCCTAATTCACGAATTTAATATTTAGCTTAAAATGTCTGCAAAAAAACATTTAAAAATTTTTGAATTTTCAAAAAATTTTGGTAAAAAAAGGAAAACCTTAAAAAGCTTTAAAAAAAAATTTTTCCCCAAAAAATTTTTTTTTTTTTTATTTGTTTTAATTTTATTACGCCCCTTTTTAAGGAAAAAAATGTCAAAAATTTCAAGTTAAAAATTACTCAAAAAAATTTTTTTTTTACTTTTAAAGAAAAAAATTTTATTTTACAAAGGCCCTTAAAATTTTGTAAAAATCCCTGGAAAATTTTTTTACATTATTTTTAAAAAAAATTACTTTCAAAAATTAAATTTTTTTTCCGTTTTTTCAAGATACCCTTTTAATGGTTCAAAAATTTTTCAGGAAATTACCTTTCCTTAAAAATGCCAAAAATATAAAACTTTCGCTTATTTAAAAAATTTATATGGGGGAAAAAACCTTTAGGCAAAATTTTAAAGCCAAACCCGTGCTAAGATAACTAAGGGAATAATCAAGTCGAAAGAAAAGTTTTGGATGGCGCACATACCCCACCAACTGTTTTAAAATCTTTGCCGATACGTGGCATGCTGGCAAATCAAAAGAAACGTGTGTTTTTAAAGTTTTTTTAGTGGATATTATTTCAGCCCTTTTGTTTAACTCCCCTACAAACCAATGAATTCCCAAAAAAGGGTGGTTCATTGCGAGTGGGTTTAAAGGGCGTTTTTAAAACAGCCCATTGATCCCCGCTGGGTTCATTTAAAATTTTTTCATGTGTGAAGGGGGATCCACTGCTTTGAAATGGGGTCTACTCGGTCCCCCTTCTTGAAATAATGAAAGAAGGGCACTGGGGCTTTTCCCCCCAGAAAGGGAAAAGTCTTTTTGGTGGACGTCCCAAAAAAAATAACGGGAAAAACCAGGGTCTAGATTGAAAAAGTCCCCTTTAACATTGAAAAAAAAACAAAATTTTTTTAAAATAAAAGTTTTTAAATTTTTCATTGAATAAATAAAAGTTTGATACACAAGGTTTTGTTCTTAAAAACAGTTTTCAAATGACAAAAAAACAAAAAATTTAAAATTTTAAATAAAATAAATCATTAATGAAAATTTTTACACTAGTTTAAAGTTTTAAAATGGTATTTAATTTATTTTTAAATGTATTCGCAAAGAAAAAAGAAAATTACTCTTTGGAAGATTTTGATACTAAACCTCAAACGAACAATCTCATATATATGACGGTCAAAAGATTAAAAGAAATAACTCTAAGAAAATTCTTACACCGCAATTTTGGATCGTTAGGATTTTTCCTGAAGTCATTTTTCTCGGAATTACTTCGTCTGTATATGTAGTAACCGGTAGCTGAAAGGAGATGTTGTAAACATTGGAGTGAATATATACATATAACATATGACATCCATTTAATATTGCAAGTTGAGCATCAGGCAAAATCTTAGAGAAGGGGAGATCTCTCGGGAGAACGCATTAAAAATATCTAGGTCAAGGTAAAGGTCGTAGACTCGGTTTTCAGATTAAGTCTAGTCATAAAAGGCAATTGGAAATACAACAACTCACACGCATACTGGCATTTGAAGTAAATTTTAAAGAATACGTATCTTAATTGTCATAGAATTAGGTTAGCACGGACAAGATACGGACGGACAAACCAAGATATGCCGCTAAAAGTATATCAGAATGAACTGTAGTGGATGTCATTAATTTCATACTATTTTGCAAAGAAAATTATACTCAGAGATGGGTAGACAGAAAGGTATAGGCGAACATGGAGAGAGGCGGCACACGTATAGATAGACAAACCTACAGACAGACATAACACAGGCAAACAGTCATTTGTTGCAAGACGAACATCATTGTATCGAAAATCGTCGAACATAGATCCATTAAGAGTCTTTACGAAAAGTAACTCCTATAATAATGCACCCCTTTGGGGCCTTTTCAGAAGGATCCTTTAAGGGCGTGACACAGTACGTCTAATGAATCCTACGTTTAGTTTTAAGCAAATTCGAGAAATGTTTTTGTATGGTTGCTAAGAACATTAATAGTTTCATCTAAAATGGTATGTGCTCTTTAAAATTTAAAGTTGAGAAAATGATTATACATTTTTCACTTACTATAAATTATTGCAATACAGCATAAAGCTGTATTTGGTAACCTGGTATCATTTGTCAATATATATCGTGTCTGCACACAGAAACAAAAAGGAATCATCACGAACTGTATCAAAATATTATATCCAAGACCTTCATGAACAATATCACGTGACACGATCACTCCGCTCTCAAACCAAAAATAGTCCGCAACATATGTTAATTGTATCATGTTGAGTAACAGTAATGTCGAATTAAAACGTTCAAATGTCGCCCAGCTTTCCACTAGAGAACATAGATTCAAGATTATCCAACCGATTATACCGCTTCTAAAAAGCACGTATTTGATGTCGAGTGACCGCCATCTTGGATTTAACTCCCGTCCCATAAACCAATCGTATACAACATTCCCTTGAAAAGAAAACAAATTACAAGCTGCAGATGAAAAATTACCGATACGAATCTAATTAATTACCTTAATCACAAATAAAATTTTTGTTAGTCCATCAGCCGGGCTGGGTTTCTTAGAAAGTCTTAAGTGTACCCTAAGTCCGAGGACATAAAAGCAACTTTAGAACCAACTTGAGACCATTTCAATAAACATTTTTAACTTCAGTCAAAGACTGTAGACTATAATTAAAAAAATTAAGACATACATTGACAGACCATTTTATTTACAATGTGTGTTTGCTCACCCGTATTGCTATTCAGAAATCAAGTGAGTCATGAAATCGAAGTCATAAGTAAAGACGCTTTCCTTGAAACACAAAAGTGTCTCAGTTTTGGTCCTCAGCCCAGCACACCAGTACAGTGTGCCCAGGCTTTATTCCGCTGGTAACCCAATGTTTGTATCGATACGCCGTAAACTTTAAAAAACTTCAAACTTCAAAGCAGGGTATATTCATTAAATGAACTGAGCAGTTTAGGGGTAAAATCATTTTCACATTTTCTTACCTGAACATCCATTTTGGTTCTTTTTAAGTTCGTCTGCAGTGCCGCCTCTAACGTGTAAATAAACGCTGAACGTAAAACACAAAAGCACAGTCGCCTTGTACATGCTTACTAGGGAACTTGACATACGTCTGACGTCATAGCCAAGCGCAACTGCGGCGGCGAGCAACGCATTGTTGGCAGTAAGTGCTGTAAGTGCTAGAAAGTAATGTTTAACATTATAAAGAAATATGGTGGCTGATTTGGAACGCTTTTGTGCGTCGTGTTGTCGCTAGCGACAGCACGACAAAGCGCCAAACGGCTTGTTGTCGGCCTTTGGTCTTGTCCTTCTTGTCGTTAACGATATACGCCTAACGGCGCGTTGTCGTGCGGTGTATTGTCGCGATGTTACATTGTCGCTCGGCGCAAATCGAAGGATTGGCTTATAAACCAAGCGACAGGGCGACATCATGACAACGCGCCGCACGACAACGCGCCGCACGACAACGCACCGTTGGCGTGCTTCGCTAGAGACAGGACGACAAGACGACAGTGCGACAACAACGCGCCTTTTGGCGCGTTTCGCTAGCGACAAGACGGCAAGACGAAAAGGCGATAACGATATAGGTTGTGTTGTCGCTATCGACAACGCAAAGCGCAAAGTGTGCCAAATCAGCCACCATAAAGAAAGGAACACAAACATTTTGAAAGAATGTGATGTTGTTCCTGCTCCACGGTCATTCTTTTGAAGTTATCATTACATGTAAACAAATAGTAGCACATGGCAACTATTAATCGATATTGGGTAAATGATCAACTCCCTAACACTAAGACACTAATTCAAGAGCTTAAATGGCACTGCCTGTTGTAAAAATGCCTAGAATCTTTATCAAAGTGGATAAGAGAAAAACATACATCTCTACTAATAGGAGCTTAGATGCAATCCTGAAAAGAGAGAGAAAGAGAAAACTAAAAGATAGAAAAACACCAACAAAAGAGTATAATGACGAAATACGATTTATACATATATCCTATACTTTACCATTTGTATTGTACAAAAGTCGATCGCCCGATGGCAAAATGACGCCTGGTTCCTTGTGTCCACCGATAGGAAGAATATACAGAAAACATTGAGCTATGAACCAAAGGAGAATATACGCGGCAATCTTAAAATCAACTGCTACAAGCACATCGTTGGTCTGCAGACGAAAGTCCAGAAGGTCCCATTTCCCCTTAAAAGCAAAAATGAATGAGAACTTCAAGAAAATAAAATGAAAAAATGTTAAGAGAAGTTTTATTTAATTGTAATATAAAATGAGATTAATATATTGTGCAATTTGATTTGATGCACCTATCTGTACAATTTGAATTGAAAATTCAGCATCCTCATCGGAAGATATTTATTAATGTTCACAATACTCGTACATTGCCCGTTGCCAAGGTAATGTAAGTAAAGAACTCGATGTTATATCTAGGTATCAGCATGTAAGACCAGACAAGGATCAGTCAAAATTATAAAAGCCAATGGGGAAAAAAGCAACAAATAATCTTCATTTCTGCATAACTTGGCCTTTTTGATAAAATAAGGCTTCCTTGCTTACGTCTTTGTCGTTGCACAGTTAACTTCACACCAGAATATTTCATTCTTTTTTTATTTGTTTCCTTTCTATGCAAAATCAGTGCCCTTTTGCGCATATCAATAATTTTGAACACGAATATAAGGCCTAAGTCGATGTTAATCTAGCTTTGCAAGTTTTGCACATTATTTAGATGTATGTTTATATAGACTAGAATGCGTTCTTTTAAATGTAATTTTGCAGATGTAGAATAATAAAAAGTACCGTCTCACACTTGGCAGTTATATAGAATGTATAAACAGTAAAGAATAATGCAAACATGACGACGCTCTTCGGACCGCCCATCTTATACTTGAAACTCCTCCTCAATTCTGTTCCGTCAGCCATTGTTGTATTTCAGACTGGAAATAGAATATCATATACTTTTTAGACAATTATCATTATAATACTATTCCCACTGAAAATTTCAATAACATTTCAAACCGTTAAACAGATCCTAAAACAATAGAGATGACAATGTAAGGTCATGTGCGAAATAAAAAAAATAGGTCCCAAGCAAAATCTTATATGAAGCATATACTACTATATGCGTTTTTAACATGTATAATTGAGACAATGTTTGGTTCGATATGAACAGAATAATAATATAACAGCACCGTGTAAATAAAGCGCAAGTTTCGCATACTTACGTCAATTTAGTAACATTACATTTACCACGGTGATAGGGCGATTACCACAACTTTTCCGCGCAACGTCAAAATATCTTACTTCTGTCCGAGACACCGTATATTTCTGTGGTACAAAATGGACAGCAAGTCTGTAACCGAGCCGTAAACAGCAGATAATTTGCTCAAAACAAGGTAAAATCATCATTTTTTTCTTTTTCATCGAATGTGCCATTTAATTTGAAACTTATTTATCCTTACTACATGCAATATGCTTCATTAATTATGTCAGGATAGTGAAAACATTTAGGGCATACTGAAAAAAATCTTGCTTTGATTACGAAATATAACGTATTTCTAGTCCGTTCAGTTCATATAACTGGCCAAAATACAATATAAATATGTACATTGTTGTCGTATGAACAAGTTACAATACATAAATATCCCGTTTTTTGTATATTTGGTACGATTTTTATGTTTCCACGTGTGTATTTTAAGGCACCGCACAACTTTGTCAATCATAAGATTAGGGCACCGCATTCTTCCTCCTTAAAATCACCGCATTTTTCTGTTTTTTTTAGCACCGTTTATTTTTGATATTAATGTTTGCTTTCAGAAAAAGAAGACGTTCAAACCTATGTCTGAACAAGCCAAAGCAACGTGCGAAATTTGCAAAGCTGCATAATACTTCCAGAAGATACTGCAGCAACTGGAGAGCGCCCAACTAAGTCTTCTGATATCAGCAGTACGCCAATGGATCAGGGCTTCCCTGTATTTCAGGACGATATGCTTAACGCACCACATTAGAAAAAGAATATGAAGTCAAACTTTCGCAAAAGATTGTTTAATAAAAGCATATTGGAGACCATGACTGAAGAGATTATGGAAATATTGCCCGGGTTCCTGCAAAAACTACACCATGAAAATTTATGTTATGACTTTTGCAACTTGATCAAATTAGTATGCAATAAGAAATTCCCATTAAAAATATTTCATTCCTTTTTTTTCTCGATGTTGTTAGATGGTATAGTCTGCCAAGAACTTCAATCTTTCCATGTGGGGTTTATCAGTTTGAATAAGTTCGAAAAGGAAAAGACATCCTTATCTATATATAGATACCATTGCACTTATCTATAACTGGTAGTATTATCACAGATCAGACCTTCTGAAATTTTCCATAACATAACGTATGATAACAGCAACATAACGTAACAGCAAGTAAACAATCTTTCATCAAATGAAACATATTTGTATGAAGAATGCATAATTCAAAAGAAGACGGTGGCCAGTATTTATCGGTCTAACGGAAAAAGAATGCGGTGTTTGAATTCAGTGTTGTACGGTGCTCCAATATTCGGGTCAGTAGGCCTTTTTTCAACATATATTCCCTGAAATTTACGATAGAAACACACAATTTTGTATGGAACTTGAACTTAGGGTTAACCATAATAAATATACGAGCTCGTTAGGTCATAGAACAAAGACATCGTCGTTATAACACGCGTTTTTGTGACAGGTACGAGTCATGTTGAGGTACACACGATCTTTTGTAAACACTATTTCTTCGAAGTATGTTTTTTTTGTGAATTGTATTGTGCTAGATTAACGATAAATTGTCTCAAAAATTCGATGGAATACTTAAACAATTGGAATAATCTTGCAATGTCCAGCAGTAAGATATTTTGTAAGCTATAACCTGGAATTTGTTTATCCCGCATTAATATTTTGTCCAGAAATATACGGTGTCTCGGTCAGAAGGATGGTATTTTGACGTTGCGCGGAAAAGTTGTGGTAATCGCCCTATCACCGTGTTTACGTTCCAAATATAATTTACAAGTATTCAACATTTGTTCTTAATTCAAACATTTAAAAGATAAACATTGATATTTCTTTTATAACATTATCATTCTAAATGTTAACAATTCAATAAATATAGGGAAATTTGGTATATACATTTTTATCCATATTTTTTTTTCTCAAAACATTTGTACAGTGCTCATTCTAATAATACATGGAATTCATCTTCTAATTTAGAGCAAATATTACATTTTCTTTCATTATCAGGAATTGCTTCAGCTTTATGCCATCTACCAGTGTCTTCTTTTAATCTATGTGAAGAAGTCCTGAAACGTGATAAAGATTTCCTTAACTTTTCGGTATTAACGTTTGCCATATATCATTTAAGGCCCCTTATGCCCAAAAATGGTTTATTGTTTTTATTTCCCGAAAGCTTTTTTTTTCTTTTGGAGGCATATTATAGTTTCTAAAATGTTACTGATTGGCTAATTAAAAGAACCATATTTTGCTTCTGTTGCCTTTTTAGCAATCAATACAGTTTTAGTGATTTAATATTTTGTATGGAAGTCAAAATACTTCTTTGTGAACATCTTGCTATTTTTATGCACACTCAGCGCTAATTACTACAGGTGATAAGTACGTAGCAAGTAAGTAAGTGACTGGTGATAAGTACCTAGCATAGGTTTTAAACATATTTTAAATGTTATAAAAGTCATGTTTGCCCTTCTTAAGAAAGAAATAAAATAATTCGTTTCTGACACATAATTCATGTGCCTTTAAGCACACAGCCATAACAATATGGCTTTTGATTAAAATCACAAAAGTCTGACTGCCATATTCATAAATGACCTAATGAACTTTCAATAGTATAGATAAGTAAAATGAACAAATTTTGTTAACCAATGGAATATATATAATCCAGATGAATATAAAGCTCACCGGTGGAAATTGTTTATGAAGTTTTGTCAACAAAGACAAAAGTGAAATGGCCGATCTTTATATACTTTCTGTTGGTAGTTGCAGAATATTGATTCTGTTTGTCATCAGAATAGTTTCTGCATGTAAATTATAGTAAGTTAAGAATGAAGCAATACAATGTATTTGACATATAACAGTTAAATAAATTTATATGATAATGTCATAGCAAAATCCGTCTTAAGTATGTGGTTATTCATTCATTCGTTCGTTCGTTCGTTTATTCATTCATTCATTCGTTCGTTCGTTCGTTCGTTCGTTCGTTCATTCATTCATTCATTCATTCATTCATCCATTCATTCATTCATTTATTCATTCATTCATCCATCATGCCTTGGATCGAATCTTATTGTTTTCACAATTTGATATGTTATGTTTGACTCTGTAATGCATTTTTATTGTTCTCACTTTCTTTATGTCATTTTGTAATGATTTGTTTGACATGTTATCTGACCAAGAGTAAACGATGATAGATTTATATAACCTTATTGGCCTGTCACAACCTGTATAATCTTTAAAACGAGTCTGTTATGATATATAATTACTTCCGGGATTTATCGAAGGAAAAATCCTGCATCAGTATACCCCCATAAGTCCATTTTTACGCACACTTCTTTACCTTGAGCATCCAAGGTGATGCATGAAAATATAATACTAGCTTATTAGATTTTGCTTAAAACCATAACTTTGGAATACAAGTGTTTGTCACATCTACGATAATTATGATCAGTAAATAATTGAGTATAGTAAATAATTTGACTTTGAAGATCTAAAAATTAGTGGTTAGACCCCTTTTATGACAGAGCATGCATTAATTGGATCCCTGAAATTTGAAAGTGATGTAAATCCCTGTTACTTATTTTTTCAGAATAAAAATGATTCACGCACAAACATAGCATAAAGAAAGAAAAAGAAACATTTAATAGAGTATGGGGCTCAAAAGAATTTTATGAAGGTGATATAAATTTTGTTTTGAAAATACTTCTATAAATGTTAAGTCAAATATTATCTGAAAATATCATACATTATATTATATGCAATATTATGGTGGCTAATATGACGCAATATGAAGATGGCTCTCTGATCTAAATAAAAGTAAAATATTCACTTACTAATCATGTGAAGTTTTACTTGTCCAAGTCAATTTTGGGATCACTATATTTAGATAATACATGTATGACAGTGGATAAAACGATGACCTTTATAAATAAACAAACTGTTTACAAGTAGAACCAGGTTTAAATAAATGCTTAAATACTAGTAGGCATATGTTAAAGCGGCCTTCAGCTTTTCTAATGTTAAATATGTTACTTTTCATTTAGAAAAATCGTTTTATATAATTGTCAAATTTAAAGAATAATACAAAATACATAAACAATAAGGAAAACCTCTCAATATCTCTAATTTACCGGTCCGCTCTCTATATTTAAATTAATAAGGCTTCCCCGATATCGTCTATTTTAAGAAATGAGCGTCACTTATGCGTTATAAAATTAATAGCCCCATTGTCGCTGCTTTGAAGAAGGCTAAACAGTGTAATGATTCTCTTTTCCAGGGTAAATTTACTGTAATACTTAGTTATATACACATTATACATCACATTATGGTTTTTCATCAGAAAATAAAAGTTGAAGGCCGCTTTAAATATACTCGTAAAATAAGTGTCCACTTTGTACGAATGGGTTGTTTATTATTACAAAATAGATACAATGTCACATGCAAACATCAGACAAAAATATAATAAATTTACCGTATTTACATGGATGCTGTAGTTGTTCATGAAAAGCAAAAGGGTTGGGCCAGAAGTTTAAACAACATAAGAGACTTGGTCCTTCCCACAAAGAGGTTGTGATATTGAACAAGAACAAGTTAAACAATAATAGTTCTTGAATACATCTTGGCATAGATTGACTTAAAATCAACATGGGCTCCAACTTATGCATTTTTTGTACTTTAACGCTTAATATATTAAACTTATTTTTTACTTTAATTAAAGCAGTTTTCACACTCAAAAACACATTTAAACATTGCACACCCATTTACAAATTCGGACATAAACAAAGGACATATAGAGCAACAATCGTATCACTGGTCCATCCAGAAAAGAAATGGAATAAATAAGCGAAGGTGAAATTTTGATTAGAATTATAAACCAGAAAACCCATCAACCGTTCAAAATCAGTATACAAATTATGCATGTTTATTATGTACTTTTACACCTTAATTCCATTTAAAATAAGCCAGTCCGCATAGCTCAGTCGTAAGAGCGCGAGACTTGTAATCTCGGCATGGTGGGTTCGATTCCCGGGCTGGCCAACTTAAATTACTAATCAGTCTTTCAGATGAGACTTTAGATCGAGGTACCGTGTATGAGTAATTTTACGCTTGATACACTAAAGAAGCAGGGAAAGCTTCTGGAATTGGGGCATTTTCTGTATGCGTATCGAAAAAAATGACTAATACGCTTCTGAAGGACTTGCCCATATGGTTATCCGGTGGCAAGTATAAATAAACTCAAATGCATACACATTGCATGCTACGTTTATTACGCAATACACTACACCTAATTGTGTGGGTATAAATCAATAGAACGGGTATGTTTTAAAGTGTGTATGCTATCATCCGTGAAATCATTGACAGTTCGGAACGGATCAAAAAGCACTTTGAAATAAGTGAAATTTTGAAGTTGGCTCTCCAAGAATGGCAATTTAATCCAAAGACAAAGATGATTCAAACTATCAAGTTAGATTTTTCAAGGATAAAAGTTATAGGACAATAAAAGGTAAAATTGATTTAACTTCCTCAATTACGCGTCTTTAATGATAGATATTCTCAAAGAGGAAAATGTCCGTATAAATTTCAAAATGGCTACCGATATTTAAAGTCATTCTTAACTGTCAATTGCGGTGGATTTTGCTTTCGGTTGTACATATTTTAATAAACTAACTCAATGAAATTCTAGTATATGAATTTATCAAAAAGTATTCTATTGTTTAAATCGGTATCATTTTGTATTTTTCAATAAACTCAAAGGAATACGTAAATCTATAAAAAAGGTAATATTTAATGTTTGTATCTCTTGTTCATTAAATTGCGATTATTGTGTTATATTTAAAGATAGTATTATAACAGTAAACAGACGAAGAGGTTTTTATATTACAAAAAAAACCCTATGTAATGGCGTGAAGTACATACTTAAAAATATATCTAGACGTCGTTGACATTTGGCACTTTCAAACGATTACAATTCTTACTTAAAGTCAAAAACACATATAATTATATCATCACAGATCTTATTCTCAAATATTTTCGTACATAGAATACAATAAGTCCTAACGACAGACTTTTTTTAAATAAATATATATTCATGTGAGGAATCGATCCATGTATTTAGCTTACGGAACGTCAGTGGTTCTACTTAAGTGCCCCTTCGTGTCTGAGATAATGCCAGAAGGGCACCTGAAATCTACCTCCACAAGTAAAGCAAGAAAGTCTTTAAATGACGTATGATGTGTTGGTGCGATGTAAAACCAAACAACAACAACAAATTCAACAATTTAATGTTTTATGTATAAATGACACATACATTTGCAAATAAACACAATAAAACCTACAGGGAAATATATTTTACATAAATATAATATATCAACTAACATATACTAAAATAAGTCAACTTGTTTATCTATAAATCTGCACAAAACCCTTCATAACTGTAAAGCTGTATAATAATATGTTTAAATAAAATAAAATATTTCAAGAATATCTAACTTAAGAAATGTACTTAGATTATAAGAAAGCCATAAAGATCTGATATTGAAGTAAACATTTACATGTTATATCTTTTCATTGACTGATTTTGCAGTATTTATCACCATGTTTGTACCGTGTGACTAACGAAGTAAGGACAATATTGACATATTCTGACCTATTTTCGGTAGCTTTTGTAGATTTTAAGTGCCGTTTGCAATAAGTAATTTACTTTCTTTGTTTACTTGAAGGTATTTTACTTTTAAATACATTTAAAAAAATTAATGAAAATTAGCATGAATCTTGAGGCATTCTGCTTTAAGGAAAATTTCAAAATATACACTGACTGAATAGCAAGGGAGATACACTTGTATATGTCAGCTATGATAAGAAGCTAAAGACTAAACGACTGTGGAATTTGCACGACGCATTATTTGTACATGTATTATTTATTGATAGCACAGTATTTGCATAACATGCAATTACTGATAACTCTCTTAAGTGCATTTAGTATTGTTTATATCTAAAGCGCATTTAACTGAATCATCATAGTTTCGATATAATAATATATTATCTTTTCCAATTGTGCAAACAGACGGTCACGTGAAAATGTTTAACTTTGATAAACCTACTTTGATTAACTTACAACTTGATATGTGTATGCATTCTAAATATAGCACGCCGATCTGTATTACATTACATTTTTCCGGTCCGAAGGGTTTTAAGAATATACTAAAGAATTCAAATGATTAAATCACTAAGGAGGTTTACGAAATACTGAATTCTAAAAAAATGGATTGAAGTGAAGGTAGGGTTTAATGATATATTTTCTTTTCTGTATTTATCATTAATAGAATAACTTGTTTTCAAGATTTAAATCCGAAACAAATATAACAATCATGAATCAAATTTGTTCTGAAAATGGCTGCCATAATAAAGCGATTTATAAAAAAAATATTATTTTCGTTTTCGTCTAGACTACAAACGACACTTAAACCAAAACATAAGTAACTGTCGTAGTTTAAGCTCATTTTTAAAGGACTTTCCAAACGTTCAGTAATATATACACAAATATACATATTTTTTGGTACGTGATATTTACTACACGTATTGTCATGTCATATCCTTCCTTATTGATAAAAGTATATTAGAGTATTATGATATGGTTTGGCATAAGTATGCCCTTATATATTAGCCTGTCAATTCCCATAACTCGTTACTTATAACTTAAGTTTTGTGTTCTGTTCTTAATTAAATATCTTTTAATGAGTATTTTATTTAAACTGGTACTTTAATTGATTCCCGTATGCTGTAGGCTTCATCTTGATTTCATTTTGAATCAATTTTGTTTACTATTCATTTTTTAGGTTCATATGTTAAATAAAACCAAAAGGTGATGTTGAGATGGAGATTAAACATTTCATCGTACCGGCGGCGGCCTACCCAAGATACCGATACGCCAGAGAACATTTAGTCCCTCTTCTGCAACGGTTCCGGAAATTGTCACAGAAATGCAACATTACAGATCCTTTCGAGATTCCTCAGTTCGAGGATGTAAATATTTATACCATATCAGACACCAGTACAGATATTATCAATGTTGAGGAATTGACACCGAAACCTAATTCTGATATCAAACAAACAATACTAAAAGTTCAGGATGTTAGGGATTTCCAGAACAAATGTCCAGATACAGCTGCCGCCATTTACATTGCATCCTATTCAAAGGCCATTCTAACTGACAGTAATTTATTTCAATATCTTGGACGCTGTAGTGTACTCATTGCAGAGGACGAGACTGAAATTCAAGTGACAACACCGGATATCAGAACGATAGATGATCGAATTACCTGTGTCAAAACAAGAGCAAGTGTTGCAAAGGAAATGGGATATCTCTTAGAGAGAATTCTTTTTCAAGAACTCAAGAAACGAGTTACAATTTTATCAACATTTTTAGGAGTAGACCCTGCCGAAGCAGCATTTGCGCTACACTAGATCAAGATGTTTTCAAAAATATACTTAAAAAGAAGTATGACCCAACCAGATCAATATCTGCTTCGAGATCTACATCTATAGAGAATAGGGATGCTATACACGTACATGCCGACATGGTGTGCTGCAAGATTGTCGGCCATTAAGAACAAGATTTGCTCTGAGTATGGGAAGCATGTTCCAGAAGTAAGAGACCAGTTGCTGGAATGCACAGACGTAGGTGGAAGAACAATAGAGACATTAAAGATTTGTGAGCAAGTAATTCCATACGTGTCCGATGGTAAGTATACACTGTACTTCGTTGTTAAATATATTTATGTTGTTTATACTGTTAACAATTGATACGTGATTATGTAAAACTGGAACGTGTAATAAAGTAATGTGACGTTACAAAATTTACCTGTTGCAGTAGTAACATTGATTCATTCTTGCATGCGTTTATATTCAATTTGTAATCTGATAGAGCCAGATGAAATTGATAAAGAAGTTGCTTTCCTATCTTGGCGACCTTATTGATATTTGGTGTTATCAGTATTATGCAACGATCATTTGATTCAACAGATCATTTTGAAATCATAAACGAAACGTAACTCATAAAGGAGAGAATAAACTCAAAAATGTTTTGCTATTTACATTTATATTTTTAAATATAAATAATGTCAATCAAATGTCGAAGTTAGGTACCCATTCACTTAACAGAAGACTATAAAGCTGCATTATATAACATAAAGGAAGAAAGACATTTAAAAAGCAATACATATTTCCCTTCAGAGACAGTTCAGTCTGGTTCCGACCGCATTCCGCAGAAGATCGTAGATCAGACAAAACTATTCCAAAAATCTCATGAACATACAATAAAAGCAATAGAACTAGAACAACGTTTTAAGACTCATTTAGAACTTGTACAAAAAAACAAGGATGATCTTAATCAACTATATGGGGAAAGTATGAGTATGTACCAAAGAAGTATGGTCCCACCCCATGAAAGACCAATGCAAAAGCAGGTGAAACATTCTCCGCCTCTTTTAAATGAGCAGGTAACTTATAATATATTTTTTAAATTTGAATATGAATGAGAAATAAAATTTAACTATCCCGTGGTACATATTTCAATGTCATAGTTAAAAATATCATTATGATTTAGTATGATAACGACATCGATTTTATTCATTTTTCATATACATTTAGAACTCAATTTTCATCCGAACAAAATCATAATGTCTTCCAACTGCATTTCAACGGAAAGGCCAAAACGGAAGAATTAGATAGAATATAATACATTTGTATTTGTAAAGGAATATCAGAGACACTTGCCCTATGACAAAACACAATTATCATTTAATAAGTCAAATCATTAAACGCCTATATTTTATAACACAAAAATTGTTCATGTTTTTGAGACTTGACAAAAATAATTGTCTATAGCTATACATGTCTAATAACTGTTTTAAGGTTGCAAAAGAATTTCTGAGCGTAATAGGGGTGACTGGATGTGGATACAGATTTCAGATTTTAGATGTTTATATCAGTAATAAGCTTACTGGCGAGCAACGACACATCGCTGAAGTACAAGTTCAGACAATCGCCGAGAAACACGGCATTATGGAATACAAGATTCGATTAGAGCAAAAAGTAATAACAGAATTTGCGGAATATGAAGTGGGATCAACTCTTACCAGTCGACATGACAGAAGCGCTACTTTAGGAGGTTTTGCTCTCAAAGGGGAAAGAAAAGACCTAAGTTTGCTTGTAGCACGACACTTTGCAGATGATGGCAGACCTGTCTATGTCTGTGATGAGAATGGTAAGAAATGTGTTTTTGCTCATATTATGCCTACCAATACTGAGGACGAACGGTATGCCACATTAGACATTGCTGCAGGGCTCGTTCTCCAAAGGGAGAGAACAAAATGTCTTACAATGTTTAAAGATCATCTTGGTACGCCACTAGCAAGTAATCTATCATCGTTTGAGAATGAAGCAGACATTGAGTGGCTAAAGGGATTACCCGTGCATATTTGGGGGGCCAGTAGCTCTCCCGGCTTGGGGAAAATAATCATTCCCGATTTTTATGTTGAAGGAATGAAAAGACTTGTTAAAATAGAAGACAGGCACCCTGTGGACAAAGAGGAAATCGTGCCATTTAGTAAGGAGGGTGACAGTGGTGCAATTGTGTGCGCCGATGATCCCGATGGTGAAAAGGTGCACGTAGTGTCAATGGTGTCTGGATCATCAAATTATGAGGAAAAACAACAGAATCCTGACATTAAAGGTGAATATTTATCAATCAGACTCAAAGATGGATTGATGCAGCTGGAAAAGGTTCATGGGGATACCTTTAATTTGTGTTAATTCATTACATACCTTTTTTAATCAATTGAAAGTGTACCATGTGTACGAGAAAGCTTTACATACGAATGTTACCCGGTATTTTTTTACACTTTTTTTCCATTGAAACCTTCATAGACTCATATTTGCACGATATATTACTGTAAACATTAGAGTTTTATATCCCGAACTTAAATCATACTTCCTTTTTTCTATCTTGTTGTGTAGTAAGCATACAATCTGACAATCAAGGTTATCTTTAATGCCTTTAAATTTCAGTTAAAATATTTGTTATGTACTTAACTGATTTTTAAGTGATACTATTATTGACACCACAGCTTTGAAGTGCGGTAAATTTCCATTCCTGAACACGTCTGCCATGTCTTCAAAGATTGCAGTCTTGTTAAAAATATTTCAAAGGCTGTAGAATGAGAACACTCGTTTTATTGTTCATAGATCAAAATAGATAACAAATAATGGTCATTTTAACACATTTTGATCACGAAAATACCTCCGCTATTGCTAGAATATTTTAAAAATATTGTTGAAGGTTTTTTTTACATCGTATGTGTACAAATATTGTGCATACGCGGGTTACACGTGAACATTATACAGTTATTGTTAATCATTTGAAAATATTTTTTATGACTTTTTTTAATTATAAAGTACGAATAAAATAAACATTATGTTTTGTGAGCTAAATTAAGCATTGTTTGCTTAAGGTTATTACCGGGTATAAGAAAACTACTTTTTGCAACAGATGCAAAAAAGAAGGTTAAGGTATTTGGCCAGTGGGTACATTTTTTGGAAACTATAGCAGAAGAATAGAAATTAAGAAAAGTAAATGAAAAATAAAAGCATTTCTGAGGTATAATGGACCTTTAAAGTAACTAACATTATACTCATTTTTAATGCTGTCACGTTTTGCTGAATAAATTATATACATTTTGTATTTCAAAAGATTGAATCATAAAGTAGTTATTGACTAATAATTGATAATGCAAAAATGTTTCGGATAAAATATAGAAAACTACACGAATTATAAAAAAGACTTAAAAATCAAAGGCTATCGTTCCAATCCAAACGATATTTGTATAGATATCCGCGGATTACATGGATTTGTTTATTGTTTTTGCATGATAAAAATAAATATTAAACACAATTATGACAAAATGTAAAGTTATGTTGAGATTTGTCTGTGCACTCACTTTTTTCAGTTGGATGTGCCAACAAATGTCAATTTTATTTTTAAAGTTGATAAATCAATTTGTTTACTTTTATATATGTATTTATTCATCTATTGGAAAGCTAACAGTATATTTTCTTTACGTTCATTTAAACTACAAGAATACTGGCTTTCCTTAATGAAATGTTATTCCTACAACTATTTACAATGGTTTCACTGCAAGATGTATGTATATAAACTTTGTTTTGTTCATCTAACGTAAATATATATTTACAATCACTTAGCTTTAGTTGTAAATCTTCTCCTCAGTTAATAATGTAGATAATTTCTAATTGTTTTAAGAATATGTCTTGAGATATAAACTTGAGATATTATCTGAATTTCATTTCAAATTTTTAGAATGAAATACTTCATTAATGTAAATTCTGATCGGAGTAGAAGGCACTTCGCAAAACCACTTTATATATTTGGAAAACAAATGAAGACACGTGTTGAATGAATCTGCCTACGATTTTATAATAAAACAAATGAGCCGCGCCATGATAAAACCAACATTATGCGTTTGCGACCAGCATGGATCCAGAACAGCCTGTGCATCCGCACAGTCTGATCAGGATCCATGTTGTTCGCTATCAGTTTCTCTACTTGTTATAGGGTTTGTAAGCGAACAGCATGGACTCTGATCAGACTGCGCGGATGCGCAGGCTGGTCTGGATCCATGCTGGTCGCAAACGCATTCTGTTGGTTTTGTCATGGCACGGCTCAAATGCAGTTCTGTCAAGCCCCAAACACCTGCTTTAGCAGTGTGAGAACATCAACGAGTCAATTCTGTAACGTTTTGGAAATGATGAACCCCAAAATGACCAAAAAGGAATCCTACGAACATTGCAGACTTCAAATGATTCTTTTCATGTGATACAACGGAATGTAAAACTGTTATCTGTGTTTGCAATGTGTACTTTGCTATATAAATTAAAGGTCAAATAATTTAGTTTGTCAATACACTGCATACTTACTTCTGAAATTGCTTCTAAAGCATGTGCCTTGAAAAACCCACTTTATATATTTTTACAGGTAGATCTGTAAATAAAGACATGAAATTGCGACGCAAAACAATTGTATTGTCAAATAAACACTGATTTGACATACTATAAAGATTAAATTTCAAATGATATCCATGTATGTACACTTCCGTGTTTACAGTACAAGAGATAGCATTTTTTTTTAATTTTAAAACTTACAGATTTGGTGTTTAAACTATATGCCTGATATGATTTGAATACCTTTGTGCAATTGATCGGATGACGTAACCAAACTATTGATTTTAGTTCGTATCATTTTTGTAAAGCAAAATTATATTCAATTGAATGAATCAATCAATAATTCTATTTAAAGCAGCAGACAATGAATATTTTATCTTGAAGTTATTGACTATTGATATTTGGTTTAAGGAATAAAAAAAAGCACACAAAAACGAAAAAAAAAAGAAGAAAAAAAAGACTGAGATAATGTTTAATTTTCATGTTAGGGGATAAGAGTTGAATTTGCTTATTTGGTTTTTACGTCGCACCGACAGTTCAGGTCACGTGACTACGTTCCAGATTTACTGGCGGAGTAAGACCTCAGGTGCCTTTCCGTGGATTATTTCAAGCGCGAACGGGCACCTGAGTAGAACCACCGACGTTCCGTAAGCTAGCTGGATAGCTTCCTCACTTGAAGGAAAAGAGGTCATTGTTAGTAACCATGCGTAAGGTCATTAATTATTCGTGTTACATTTTAACCATAATATAAAACATTTTGATATACAAAGCAAACATTTATGGCAAGTAAATATACAAAGTAGAAATGAAGTAAATTAAGGAAGATAAGCGTCAAGGACAAATCAAACAGACATGTACGCTTACAGAGACCGCCTCGTGGAAAAGTAAAAATTTAGGTTAACCAAGTTGGGGATATCTCTGGCTCGCGAACACGTTACAGAAACTATTGGATTCCAAGAAAATGGTTATAACATTTCTTGTAACTATAAAAAAATGTATGAAAATCTGCAATATTAGATCTATTAATTGCAATTTTAGAGTCTACTGAGCATCTTCCTCGAAGTTAAAGCAATTATTTTTCAGGTACATGATTTTTAGACAAATTTTGTTCGTGTGCTAAAGATTGCATGTATTTCAGTGTACAAATAATAAGTACAGTCTTAAGTCATTAGCGTTGTGTAAGACTATTGTCTGGATTTTATGTTTCGTAAATAAAATAGTATTTTTGTGTATTGGGTTTAACGTCGCACCAACACAGTAAAGGACATATTGCGACTATGTCGATATGGATATCTATTGCATTTGCCTTGCTTTAGTACTATAACCATGATAACACTTGCTTTCGATAATCAAATTTGAAATTTTAACATTTACATCATACTGTAATATCAAATTCACCAACTTATATATTGTTGAAATTTAAGACTCAAGTTATTATGTAGATAATGTATTGTGATCACAAAAAAAACAACAAATCTTATCTTTAAATATAAAGCTTTAACTTCCTCCAATAAATACGCATCAAAATTGAAATCTCCAGCTATGATTATACTGAAAAGTGATCCTTAAAGCAACACGCCTCCAGATTCATGCTAATTTTCATGAAAATTTAAAAAATTAATTCAACAGTATAATATTGTAAAGTTACCAAAAGAATGCAATTTACACAATATTACCTAGTATGTAAATTACTATTAAGATGTCAACATATACAATAATAGCCCTAACTGCGTTAGTTACGCAGTGGAAATATAGTTATAAATCGAACATAATATGTAAATTATTACTAGAATTCTGAATCTTAATACCTTCCCTAAAATCATAGTACATTTTTTTCTCAAGTTTTAATTTATCGAAATATTTTTGCTCATCTGGAGGCGTGCAGCTTTAACCTTTAAAATGCAGTTCTTTTGGTCGGTGTGTTCTAAAGTTTGATGAAAGATATTAAAGTAATCAAATTTTCAACTTTTCTCAAAGAAATACGTTTTTGTATTAGACATTGACACAACTTCAAGGACAGTTTAGCATATTTATTTTGTAAAACGTAACAGTTAATCAAATACAATGACTTATTTTCGTCCACCACTTATTGGAAATCGGTCACAAATACATTTGTTATCGTAGCAGTGTCTTGCGCTATCAGGACATGTCAGGTTTGGGGCTTGGTCACCATAACAATCGGCCTTTCCAGTACATTCTACAAAAAATAAGCAGTATCAAAAATGAGACACAGATACGGTGAAATCATAAACAAAGAGGCAGATGACCCAAGATCGTCGAAATGTAGAAACGAAACCATAAGTAACAATATTTTAAGGTAAGATCCCTCTAATGGGCACTATAAAGAGCCTATCAATTTACAACATAGGTCACTTATATGTCTTAAAGGACACCTGTATGCAAACTTTAAACAAAGTTTTAATATGGTTCAGGAGTTATAGATATTTTGATGAGCTTAAACTCGGCTAATAGAAGGGCTCTTTTTGCAGAAATGAAGAAACTCTTAACAATCTATAATATAATCGTTATGAAAAATGATTTCCCATTTCTTATTGTTAAGAAACAAATAATAGCATTATGCTATCAATCCACAAAATCACAATGATTATATTTACTCAAAATTTATAAAGTATGCACAAAAATGTTACCCTACCCCACCCATTTTTTACACTTGGTAGCCCATTTTCCTGCAATGGGGGATCTTAACTTAATAAGAAAACAGCTCTGTCTAAATGTCTCAATATTTGGTCTGAGATGATGATTTAGTTTAAACAATTATTTTCAAGCCAAATAGTTTATGTTGTTACTAGTTGTCAATGTATCAAATCAATTATATTAAACGGAAACTTATATATCCATCTCAATTTTGCAGAGAATGTTATGAGCTTAACAACCATGGACTGTCATCATAAAGGAAACCTAATTGTGAAACCAGTAGGGTACCAAATCACTAATCCTTCCTTTTTTCAAAGTGATGCAGTTACCTTCACCAAACCGATACTGTACTTACCCCCTCCAGCAGTCTGTTCACATGTACAAAGCCCACCGTTAGCAACAATACCGGATCCATCAGGG